GGTAAATATGCAGTTTCCCGAAACTGCCTACTACCCCGGTGTCTCCCTTCACAACATAGAATAGAATATACTAGATTAGCCAACTTTTATATAATAGGGGGTTGTTTTCGGGGCTGTTCTTCTGATTATGCAAACGTATACACAAAAGCAACAGTTCCCAATTGCACCCCAAGGTTAGGCCGCGCCCCCGAGTACTTGTTCCCTCTGTGGGTCTTTCGGGCTCTCTCTAGTTTGACAAAACAATAAAAGAGACTTAGAAATCAGCCAAACAACAATTAAGTTTAATCACAAATTTGGCAAAAAAAAAGTTTTGGGGAAAAAACTACAGCCAAAAGAAAAAGGGGGGAAAAATAAAAAAAACTTGGGGGTTTATAATAAATATAAGAACAAAGGGCATTTGAATAAGATAATACATTAGTCTGATGTGGTAAAGATAGGTCTTCCTTAGGTTTTTCTATTAATTCGCTTAATTTTTGGTTTGTTCGCTAGTTTGTCTCTTTTTCTATAAAATTCATGTTTTTTGAATATACTTGTAACCTAACAACAAGAAAGAGAACGAACTATCTAAAAAGGCTTATTCTACAGTACTGACTTCTAAAGCCATAAAACTAGGAGCTCTCCAACCACCGATTTACCAAATGAAACTAGGATATATATTACTTTGTTACTCTCCTCCTCGAGCCCACCAATATCAGATAAAGTAATACATCTGATTTGTATTGAGTCGACTCCCCTTGTATAAACGTCGCTCAGACTTTCGAGACCGAGATGGCTTTCTTTTTATTTTCCCGACGATCGTTAATAATTTTAAAATCTTAAGTTGTACAATCGGAAAGATTTTCGACACCTTGTTGAAGGGTCCGGATTAATGAGATTTGTCAAATTCAACACGGGGCAAAGCAAAATAGACAATAGAGAAAATATAAGATGCAAAGTTGCATATTGGAAGGTAATAACTTGTGAATTTAAAAGGGAATTTCCCGGAAGGTATAAATATTGCATTTGGATTCATAAATATCGCCGTCCACTCAATGAGATTGAGTGTTAGGGCTTGGGGGTGGGTGCCTAGTGATAGGGTTTTGATAGTGGAAGGGAGGGAGAGAATAGTCATTCATGTCTTTAGCTTTGTTGCCTTTTCTTACACGCGAAGTCGGGAGGCTGGATTGTTATGAATGTGAATGTGGTTATATATTGTATGTTATATAGCATTAGAGTTATTTTATTAATTTTAAATAGAAGTGATTTCATGGCAACTCGATATAATACGGTTATAATGTCAAATCGATGTCAAGGTACAACTATGAATATAAGTGGTATAGGGATTTAATATATGATCTAAATAGTGGTAAGGAGTTTCGGTGACGATGTAGTGGTTTGTCCACATAAATTGTTTAATTTTATAGACTATTATCCATAATGTGTTTTATTAGACAGAACATGCGATAGTGAGCATGGAGGCTCGCTTGTTTACAACATATCTCAGCAAGCCACATAGCGAGCTTGTTAGGAAGGACTGTAAGTCGTTAGGGTGAAAAGGTAGTACGACTCTTCTAGCCTACCCAAAAAGCCCGGCTTGATGTGACATAAATACTGAAGCAAGAAAAAAAAAATATAATTTTATTGTGGAGGAGGTGGCTTTATCGGAGTTGTTCGAATCCTATACGACAGGATGGGTTGCTTTTAACATTAGTGTTTTTTTTAAGACAATGAATTGGTAAGAACTTTTTTCGGGTGTAGTTTTTTTTCTAACATCAAATTACAAACTTGTGTTGCAGATCTCACATACTAGTGTTTGTAGATATTGGTGGGATCGATCCTTTTTCCATTCTAGTTATTGGCAAATTCAGCCTGCCTTCGACAATTGGATTCATACGCATTGAGCCTAAGAAGTGTATAATGAGGGTTAATCCCTTCGTCGGCGGACACCAATGTCTTTCTAATATAGTCAAATACAATTTCGATGTTTTTATATTGTATTTAATTTTACATTTTCCGATACATGTCGCGTCTGTTCCGGACTTCGCCTACTACCTCAATTCACCGCCAATCATCTTACCGAAGGCGCGGTTGTGCAACTTCCGCCACCTCAGTTAAAGAACCCAAAGCAACAGCTGTCAAAATACCGAAGGGCGACTCAGATTTTTAGTGGAGCCCGTTCAACACGATAAGATATTTGCGCTCCAGTTGACCCACATTAAGTAACTATCTATCTTACATTTGGGCATTATTTTTCATCCAGCGTTCGCGTTTTTGGGTTTTGTTGTCTAATTGACAGAGGAGATGCGCTAGGCGGCAAAAGTATCGAACATTCTCTTAATCTATTCTTATGCCGCATCACACATCGTGTCACGATTTTACTTGAGCGATAAGACGTGGTAAAAAAATACTAGCCGGCCCGCTTTCTAGGGCTTTACACGCATCTGGTGATGAGAATATATGTATATTTATATGTTTAAACTTACACTCAGGATGGAGAAAAAAATACTTCTGCTGGTCTTCGGACATTTTGGTCAGTTTTCTTATTTGATGCTGCACGCGCCACCATGGGGGGGACTCCTACTCAGTTTTATCGATAATACACTGTCTCTCTTTCATAGTGAATCTTATGCACACACATGATTTTGTCACATAACACACTACATCTGGAGTACAGATTCTTGCCCTTTTTTAAGTTCAATCGCATGTATTGAGTTCATTACCTTCGACTTATATAACAATTCGACAGTTATCTTTTTAGGGTTATCTTATTACTGGATTGCAGCTACTACCTAGTACGGGCAACTTCTCGTATTTTTTTTAGCTTCGTATATTGAAGGATCAAACACATAGTTTGCTGGTCGGGGTTTTTGGCCTGACATGGCCACGGATTATCCCGGGTTTTTTTACACACTATGGGCTCCAAACTCCGCCAATAGCCACGGGTGCATATTAGAGACAAATATATACTTCACCACACTGACCGTGTCTTTCGCTCACTATTCGCGGCACAACTCTAACGACTTCCACCGACAGGAGAGACGGTAATTGTGTTCGCGGAGTAACATTTGAAATCAGCCATTATATAGCTATCTTTGGAGTTTCCACACAATAATTTAGGTGTAGCCACCTACAGGTTTAGGAGGTAATCCAATTGAAAAACCCACGGAAAGTAGCTCCAGATTTATACTTAAAAAAAACATTCATATCTGTAATTATGTGCTTAAACGCGAAGAATGACAAAAGAGTATGACATACAATTTTTATTCTCCGCATATTTTCTTATTGGGTATGACTCTCTGTCCATTCTCTTACATGTAAACAGTGTTTAGATATAGAATATGGGACTGTATAGGGTTTTAGATCGGTGTTGTGTTGGTGATATGTTACGGACGAACTTCAAGCCGCGGACCCTTGAAGAAAAGATACCACGCGTAAACGAAATCCATCTTTTTAAGGTATTTGTTTAAAAGGGGGCTGGACCACCAACTTGGCCAAAAAGATCTGGGGCCCCCACTTATTTTAAACAAAATAAGCCATGGACCTTCCCATATTAATTCCGTTAATTGTTTCTCTATTTGTTGGGGGCATGTTGGTTGAGTCTATTAAGATGATGGCTCTTGTTATTTATTTGAGAGGAGGTCTATTATTGGCGTGGGCTCCGGATGAGAAAAAAACGGGTTGCCTTGGGGGGCCCTGTTACCCCCAAACTTTTCAGCCCCCCAGTTATTTATATCTTAATGCTTAGTAGCTTTAGATATAAGACACTTTAATAGATTTTCATAATTTCTGGCCATCCCTCTTAATTTAGCAGAAATAGTCTCTGCGATTACGATCCATAACGTACCGGCCCGGCACTGCATACCCCCAACAGTCCCACCACTCAGCGATAGGGTGTCGAGAAGAATATTTTTGTGGAGTTTTCATAAGTCGGACCCTCTTCTTGCGTATTTTTTAATCGATTCAGCCTTTTCTATTTATGGGGGACTGCCAGCGACTTCCCCCCAGAAACGAGAAACAGAAGAGACAAATCACACGCGCACAGTCCACTTTGGACCTCAATTCGTCTTGTCATCCTGAACATTTATATATAGACTCGTATTTATTTCCATTAGTTTTAGGTATAGACAAGCAATCGTTAGGTTAGGTGAACAAAACGATTATACATATACAACATATACAACATATTGCTACAGATGTTGTGAGTTTATAAAAAAACCAGTGAGAAGGCAGGTAAAGGGAGTCTTGAAGTTAATAAGTATTCTCCACCCGATAGTCGAATATTACTTAGATAGCATAACATACGATTGGTGATACCGTGGAGAGTTTTTTACTTTTTCCTTAAGTAACATACTCCGCTCAATAATAAAAATATTGTGTTACGTACTTTTCACACTCACTGTACATAAAACGGAAGACTATTTGCCACAACATTGGCAATGCAAATGCATTTCTCCCTTCAACTATCAATAAAATAACACCAGCTATGTAACTGTTGGAACTCACAAAATAGAGCACTTAAAAATAATTTTTGAGGTTATGTCATAAAACAAGAATTTAACACTCGCACTCACAGCCATTTACGACGAGTGCGATGCAACAAAAATGCAACTTGAGACAATACTCAGGCACTTAAATGTGTTTTACGACATTGTCAGCGAAAAAATACGAACAACAAAAATTGCAATTCGAAGAGAATTTTTCGGAGAAGAGAAATACGCAAAAAATGTCTGCACTTAATTGCTTCAAAATAATAGTATTGAAGGACGTAGAATAGAATCAACAATAGCCAATAAGCTGATTTCTCTTAAGAAAAGCTCAACTGCCATATATTGTATATACACTTGACTACCGTTATCGCAATGAAAACATTACTTATCACAGTCAGACAAAGGGACGCGCAGCTAAAAATCGGGGCACATCAGTCAAACTTCCAGCAAAGGCAGTCTTCAAAGCTTTGTATATAATCTCAATTTCTTACGCTAGCCGCATTTTCTGTGGTCTTCAGCGTGCTTCGTACTCACCTCACCAATTCCAGTTGCATGCCGCTCAACCGATTGAATTCCATGAAAATCGTATCGCCCACAAAAGGTACGAGTCATCATGATTGCCAGTGCCGGCGTTACGTTCCAACACACGCCGCACCTGGCGCACCAGCGTGTTGTAAGCCGACCGAAGGATCTCAATGCAGAACTCGCGCAGACACAATCTGAAAAATAAAACACAAAACAAATAATACAAATAAATAATAGCTAATAATAATGAAAGAATAAAGGGAAGAAATAAAATGAATAATAAAAGTGCTGGGAAATGAAATTACAGCAAAGCAAATACAATAGAGATGCAGCATAAAGGTTAACTGTGAATAGAATGAACTAAATTGAAGGAATAAAATCGCGCTCATGAGATTGAGGGTTAGGGTAGGGGCGTACCAGTGAGGTTTTTGTGGAGGGAGGGGAGACTAGTCAGCTTAGCTTGTTGCTTGATAAAGATTTGTGTTGCAGTTGCCTTAACGACGAATCGACAAATATGAATGGAATGTGGAAATGGGTATAAATAATATAAATAAATGAATGTTTAGCATGAATAACGGATTAAATGGCAAACAGTATTTACATAGATAAGTATGGATTTAAATATGAGTAAATATGTAGGTCGGGAAGATGAGGCCAATAAATTGGTTTATATAATATAATTGTTTTATTATAAGACATATATAAGTTAGGTTACATTCTTACAGCAGCCACAAGCGAGCTTAGAAGAAGAGTGTATGAAGGTATAACTTAAGACCAAAAAGCCATTCTGCAAAAAAAAAAATTAATTTTATTTAGATTTACGATTTGTTGGTACAATTTGCTACACAAGACAATGAAGTGGTAAGCTTTCGGTGAGCTTTTCTAACTCAAATTAAAACTGTGGCAATAAAAGTGTTAGCCGCTTTCAAGCTCACCATCATCATTAGTCGTCAAATAAAATATCAAACCGCATATCTATAAACGCCTAAGCAATTTTGGTCACAATGTGACCACCATCTTTATTTAATTAAGAGCAAAAGGAATCTACTATATTTTGAGACCACAAAATTTATCCCAGTTACGTTATACCCCGAAAGTGTCTGATCCACACATAAAAGATAGGCCAATATAGGAGAATTATATTATTAATACCAACTAATAGAAAGAAATATATAAAAGACCACCGATTTTTTTTTTTCAACAGGAACAAGATCAGGTTTGGTATTTCCTTAACTCATAGAGACATTTAATTACGTCGGCTAAGGCAAATAAAGTGTAACTTGATGCGTACGATTTTCGTCCATTCTACGCATTGGCACACCTAAGGAATGAAAATATAAACGATGGAAAACGATAGAGGGGAGGAGCAATTAAGTATTGTCCCATACCTGTCGAAAATATTACTCCACTATTTCAGTACCCAAACTGGTATCGCTATAGCGACGGAAAATCATACACATATATAATATCAGGTTTAGTGCTCGATTTGTTTTACAAGAACATAACCTTACTTAACACATACATATGTAGCCGTATATACACTCAAAACTATTCCTAAGGTCTCTTATTGACAGCATTGAATATCCTTAAAGGCGGGTAGGGTTTTTTTTCGAAAAGTGGATTTTTTTTCTCTTATCTTACTGTTTAACATTTCAAGAATATGTCCTTAAAATTTTAGGTCGATAGAAGCAATATTATTAAAGTTATTGTCTTATTAATCTCCTGGCCTTTAACGCTCCAACCAATAGCTCATAAACTTAGGACGCGTTTTGCTCAAAACTACTTTTTCAAAGTCTTTGTTCACTGTCTTTTCAAAACTACTAGACCGATTCATTTCAAACTTTAGAGACATTTTCGACATAGAAAATACCGCCCCCTGTTATGTATATAATTTTTTTACATTAGGGTTTTTCCACCCCAAAATGGCGAAATTTTAGGGGAAATAACAGTTTACACTTTAAATAGCCGCAAAAATTTTTAAATGAAAAAGTTATCAGAACATTGGGTGGGATTTGATCATAATTTAACTAATTTTTCTTGGTTCTTTTTCAGATAATTTCCAGCCAAGTTATGGTGAACACCGCATATTGTTTTTTTCTCAAGACGCTAATGGGGAAGCTCTATTGCCGGCTTATGCCTCAATATTACCCTATATTGTCGAAACTATGCTCAATAATGTACAAAAGGTCCGAATAAAATTACTCAATCATATTTAAGAAAAAAATTCGCAAAAAAAGTATATTTTTTACCTTGAAATCCAACCAACCTCCCCTCTCTCTTAAAGTGCTCTTTTAGAAAAAAATTTTGGTTCAGACATTGAGTCATTCTTCTAATAGAATTTTTTATTTATCTTATAGAGTTCTTACAGATATCTAAATTAAACAGAAATATTTTTTTTCTTGCAAGTACTCATTGATAGTTAAAAAAGCCGAAAGGTATACAAATTCTCTTTAACAATTCATTTTCCACACTTTCCATCTTTGATTAAATTCTGAATTTTAAATGGCGCACTTATCTTCTGCCAGCAAAGATTAATGTTTCAAGGTCAAGCGAAGAACGCTTATTCCTCGCAACGATATATGATATTTCCAAAACGATTAAAGATGTATTAAAAAAGAAAATGAAAATATAACATAAAGAGGAAGTAGAAGAGCACACGTATATTTGCTTTCGCACATGTGTCTTTAAAATGCTGCTACGTCGGCGGTAGAAAATGAGATTAAGGGGTAGGACTTTCGAAAATACTAGTGCTTATGATGAAGAGTGGTAAGAAACTTTTTTGTTCTTAAGATCGATACAATTTTCAGGCGGTTTGGTTGGTCTGAACCTAAACTCAGACTATTTACTCAAGAGAAGATCAGAAATATGTATATAAGGGTGGAGCGAAAAAAAAATTGTTTTTTTTTTTGGCTTAGCCTGGGGGTAAAATCTGTAGATTTAAAAAAAAATTTTTTGGCCAAAAAAAGAAAGATTTTTTAACACACAGCACTCAGTTTTGAAGTAAATTTCGATTTTTGGACAAAAAAATAACTTTTGGTTCAAACTCTTCACGTTTATATAAAATATATCGAATTTGACGATTGTCGACTCAAAATTTATTTTAACGCTTAAGGAAAGCATGTGGTCATTTAACTCGAAAATTTACTTTAAAACTGAGTGCGCCGCCTCTAGGTGTTAAAAAATTTTTTTTGTCCTAAAATTTTCTTT